TTTAACTTTAACGCAAACTTACAATCGTAGCCCTACATAAACCTTAAGCGTAACCGTAATCTCCTTTTAAATTGACGAAGGGCTCTCGGAAAGAAGGAGAGGGCTGTTCCTATTCCCGTGTCCCGTTGTCTCCCGGGATCGCTTAAGGCTCAGCGATCGACACCTGGTTCGTTTTTTTAAGTCGGTATGCTGTCTGGCAAAGGAAAAGGTATGAAAGACAAATAAATTCGAACATGAAATAGTCTATTGTTTGCTTTAAAGCAGAACTATTGTTCGAAAGAAGCTAACAAGATGTGGAAAATCAGACGTTTACCAGCAGATTTTTGACCACAGCAACGGTGAAAGATAACAGGATTCTGCTGTGGTGCATGTATTCTGATCGGTTGTCATCCTCTTCTATTTTACAACGTTGAGTTCAATGTCAAGCACCCAAACGTATCTAGAGAATGATCGTGAACAACTACTGTCCTTAAGTCAAGAGGGCAGCATGAAGTTTAGTGGTTCAATGAAATACATCAACAAGTCCGCATGGATTGATTTGCGTGACAGTGGATTTGCCACTTTCTAAAATGGACCAAATTTTCCTGAACCGATAAGTCATGGTTAGGACTGAGAGTGATTGACGGTTTAATCCAGAATTGTGGATCCTCAGGTGACCTATTCGGTGACGGAATCTGCACCTCGACTGTTCAAAATGATAAATCTGGCATTTGTGTTTGAGCAGTTTTCTGGAGCGTAGGAAAAGTCTGTCTGTTTTCCTGAAGAGAAACTTAATTATTTACTTTACGTGGATGCACTGTTATTTCATCCATTTGCAATATTATCAGACTGGTCAGGGTAGCTTTTCTAGCGTGACGGTGGACCAGCTTGTTGAGGTCACAGCGTTTAAAATTCCAAAAGCTAACACGACCAGCTTAGAACGCATTCATGATTTTACCTTTGACAGATAATTCCCAAAAAAGCATAAGTACAAGCGTTGTTCAGTGCAGGCTCGTTTTTTAAAGCTTCGATTGCCGTGAAAGCTAGAATCAGTTTGGTAGGTCATCAAAAGTTCACGGAGGTGAATCAGAGCTGTAAGCCTGTCTATAAGTGGGTCTGCCGGATATGAATAATTGAATTATCCCTCTTATTTAAAATTTCTTGGAAAGTTTGTTGATTGAAAGAAAGGAGAATAAAAAAACAGTATCACATTCCTTCGATTTTCGCAGATGTAACGCGTTTCACTCAGCGTCCATTATTTAGCCCTCGCCGACGCAACCCTTTGCAACTATTACGTAAACTATTTGTGGGAGTCTGAGACAGCTGGTAAGAAACAAATTCAAGACGATTCTGCACAACTTAAAAAACGTAGGCGATCACTTTATTTTGAAGATAATTTAGTTGTGACAGATTTCCGTACTTGCAGGTTGTGGATAATAGCATTCTAGACCACACAATCTATCCTGCAGTACTTGGAAAGCACGTAGCATAGTGGAACGTAATCGGTGTAATCCTGTCTCTTACCACATATGTGGCTTACCATCTTCTCTTTTAGGCACTCTAGAGCGTGTTTGCCTTATCATCGGTTCACTGGAAGCCGTGGCGACGACCCACGTTTTCGTAATGGAACGCATCTACGAGAAACCTGATGCCAGCGCGCAGTCCGTGGACGGTCGTTTGACGCTTGAGCGACACAAGCAGGTCAGCTTCATCCTTCCGCACTTTTCAAAAATTTATCCTCCTTTATACTTATGTTGACTAGTTGCGGAACGTTTTTTTTTTCTGGGTCCTAATCATGAGTTTTTTTTGGATTGGGGCCTTTATAGAAGGCTAAAAACCGATCTTTCAAAGTTTTGTTGCCTACATGTGATTTGACGCAGCCGGCTTTGTGGACCGCTTGTCCAAAGGCGTACCTAGTTTGCTGTGTAGGAGACCAGCGACTAGACTGTGAACTTTTTAAAATTCGAATACTTGAAAAGGTATTAAACAGCATTACCCTCAGGAGTTAAATACTAGCTGTCGCCTGACACTTCGTGTCCGTCAGGATGTCCCTTAGAGGTGTTTAAATATGCATGCCCTAAATTGCTTCTGTCTGCCTTCGGGAACAGGCAATCGTGACAGCTCTGTACTAATCACACACGGTAAGAAAGCGCCTGTTGCATGCGACATAGGAACTAATATTCACAACATGGAGTGGAAACCTGGTCTGTATCTTTTTTGGCATCGTTTTCTTATGCCTTATAGTATTTTTCACCAAGAATTAGCCAATTTGCTTGCTCGTTGCAAAGGCTTCAACCTTTGTTAGCCGGTTCTCGCCTATTTAATTTGCCGATCTCCCTGCACTCAACCGCCATACAGGTCATCGGTGCTCTGTCAGCGGTCAAGTCAGATTGATGAGTTTTCCCGTTTACTGGTAAATATCTATACTTACAACAAGCGTGCGGGCCCGCACCTTGGTTTTTCGAGCGTTGGTCTCAAATACCCTTCGCATACTAGTCAAATTTTAGAACTTTTGCAGCCTGGAGTTTGGGCGGGACTAGCTGCCACCAGCAGTCACGCCCACGTTGCCTACTAGCGCGCTTAAGGTATACATCTTGCTCCTTACAGATTCAAAAAATAAATGTAGGAATCGTTACTAGTGACAGTAAGTATGGTGAGTATGGTCTAGGTGACGATTTAGACAACATAGTTTGTCACTTGGGTCCTAGTATCCTATGTTTTTTTCCCGAAGCAGGTAGCGCTTTCGTGTTATCTCACGTGTTTGACACCAAGTAGTACATTAACGACGTCCCGCAACCAGA